ATATATATAATGATTAACATGATAAGTTACACACACACTAACACTTCCACACAATGGCAGAGACACACATACTGAGAGGCTATCAGACAGAGATGCAGGCAGACAGACACACACACATACACACAGATATATTTTACACACAGGCCAATGATATTTTTTTTACCTATACAAATATTCTGACAAAACATAACCAATACATCAGCACCACTGCAAATATCTCCTTCCCTTACCGCGAGAGCCTGAAGTGATTCGCGCTCTTGGGGCGACTGGATCTTGTGGGCAATGAGTCGCACAGCCGTCTGCACACCCCCCGCCTCGGACGACACTGCCTGGCACACAGCCTGAATCGAATTTGGGTCATCCTCGCAGTTCAGTGGGTTGGTAGACTTTTCTGTGGAAATGTAAACAAAGGTGTAAATATTGGTATCAATGGTAGTGTATTTAACAGGGTGAGTTATTGTTTCCTTATCCTCTTTTTGTAATATTCTTCTTTCTCTATTTCTTCTTCTTCATTTTTCTTACACGACTTGTTTTGACCCACTTAAGATGGTTACATAAATTCTCCTTCTACCAAAGTGGTCAAAATCACTCTTTTAAACCACATCTTTTAGCAATGTTAAGATCTGAGAGTTTGGTTTTCATTACAATAATTTTTGGCTACTCTAACCTATCACCTTTTTATCACCTTTTCTTGATAACCATTGTCTTTCCTCCTACTAATCTTAACATTTTTATTTTAACAACTATCTATCCTTCATACATTTGGTGAAGAAATACTCCAAAACATAGTCTTCTAGTACAGTTGTCTTCAAGTAATTCATACCCATGATTACACCAGAATGACATAGAAATGCTGTGAAATCCTAAATGATGATAGTAGACTTCCTAGCTGTGATTAGCGCAATTGAATAGTATTAAATCTAGTTGTGTGACCTAGTGGATATCTGTCCAGGGAGGAGCATACATATCTAGCCGCAAAACAGCGCAATAGGATGACCAGTCGCTTTTGCATGATCTTGACCCGACCTAACACCAGGACCCACTCAAAACTCACTCAACTGGGAATCTTGCTAAAGTACAAATCCACGATATTGCAACAGCAATGTACTATAATTAGTATATGAAGTAAAAAAAAAAAAAAAAAAAAAAAAAAAAAAAATATCCGAAATATATTCAGTAAATCATTCTTTTCCATTAGTTTTACTGAAGCATAAGTTACATGATATATAAAAGAATAGAAAATATAATTTGGATTATATAGCCACAACAATTTTTTTTTTTTCTTTTTTTAATATTGTCAGACAATTCTAACTTTAGCCCTATGGGAAGATTTCCGATAGTAGTTGTAAAAAAAATAATAATAATAAATAAAAATAAAAATAAAAATCACAAAGCAAATAAAAACATTTTGTCACTAAGTCTTGCAAATATAACCTGACCTTTTTTTTTTTTTTAGCTTTATTTCACTTTTGAACGAAATCACCTCACTCAAATAATCGTTTCTTAGATCTTCAAACCAGAGATAACTGGAATGCTCTTTATATTTTTTCCTGTATACTGTTCACTATGTCTGCAATCACCAAGACGATTATCAAGTCCGTGATTCGCAGACTGTCCTGGTAGTCTTTAGTCAAATGAGAAACCAGTCGGAGCCCAATCCTGCTAGGGAGTATAAGGTCGGAGTTTATCAACCTTCACTACTGTGATGAAAGGGCACTGGCCGCCGAACTCACTTGACGACATCTCTCACCTCATTTCCTTAGTCTACTTTCTTTTATTGTGATATTTCTATAAGAGAATAAAAGCACTTTACAATGCATCAATCTATGAAATCCATGTACTGTAAAACTTATGCGTATACCTGTAAATTAAATTTTGCTATACATATACTTGGTATGACAAAAACTACGATGATTAATTATGGACCTAATTTCTTATTATCAAAATTATTCTTAACTACCTCAATGAAACTCAAAGGAATAATTACTTAAAATAACATAATGCACGATAATGTTTAATGTTTAGAAAACGCCTGCACACTAGCCTCCATGTCTCCAGTGCTCCAGCAAAGGTCATCAAACCTTCCCCTTGCATATTCCATAAAAACATAGCTTCGAATGTCTCAACGGTATTTAATTATCAAATAAGTAACAATTCTGTGCCCTAGCTTCCCAGAATAAATGGAATGGAGGTTCGGCAGCCTTTGCCAAAGAACATAGAGAGGAGACCGTAGCGAAGTATTAGCACCGCGACAATAACAGATTAAACTACGGATTACAAGTCGTTTGTCGCATATCTCAGTACACTCCAAGTAGGTTTGGATCGAACACATTAACATGAGTGCAAAGAAAAAAATCCGAAGTTTAGAGCTCTCCCTGGGGTCTTCGAACATTGACTGAACCCAAATAATCATTATCGTCACTTGTCGAAATTTGCATGTAAGCTTCCCGGCTCTGTGACAGGAATAAAACTCAAATCTTGAATGTATTATAAACAATAT